GTGAAAAGGCAGGAATATGGTGTAGGATTTCCAGTCAGTTCTTGGCGGAAGCGCAAGTATGACTCAGAATAGGCAATGTTGACGCGTTGGTCCTGCTGGCGCGCGCTGAGAGCATTCAAGGTGTTTGTATTGAACGAGGTGACAACGGGCCAGTGCACTGACAGCACCAAGAACAGTAGGAGGCGCGCTCGCAATGGTACGGGTGGCATCGACTCTCGAGGGGAGCATCAAGTTTAAATTTGAGAAAAAAGCTATTTTGTATGCACCACAGGCTGGTAGAGAAGGAACTTAGAAATATCCGAGGTGTGAATACAGGTGTTGTGATAGCTGGTGGTGGGTGGTAGTCAAGACGCGATCGCCCCATAACAGCGTTACGATTTCAAGTCACGGTGTGACCACGTCTGCGTAACGCTGCATGGCACGGCAACTGCGTCCATTACGGCAATGATGCACGGTAGCGGCCACGGTAGCGTGCACGGTAGCACGGTAGCGGCCACGGCACTTTTGTGGTGCCCGTAAAAAGCCCGTGTTCGGAATGGCGGTCGATATGTAACATAGATTCCAATGATCGGCCTCTGATATTGATAGGCCAGAGGATGAGAACGCCATAGAATGCGGTGTAGTGCCCGCTCCTTCGTGGGGGCGCGTTGCCAAAAGCCATATGTGCACGTGGTCGCCGATCAAATTTCTCACGGCTTTCCTAGTTCTGCTTTGCGCGGTGTGTCGGGTGTGTGGCTCGCAAGATTCCCATAAATCAGTTCTCGTCACGGACAGTGAGTGATGAGTCGTATACCATCAACCGAGTATTTTTCTGCAATGTCAGGGAACCGGTTTCCTTGGCGAATCCGAGTCCGGCGACAGATGTTTTGGTCGTCCGTTTGGTTTGGTACTCAATACCATTGGAACGCGCGCCCCATTTCCATATAGTGGACGGTGCTGTGTTATACAGCAACTGGCTCTAAGTTATCACGTCTCTCTACACGGTATCTTGACTTTCATAAGCTATCTACTGTAACGATTCGGACTGACACAGGAACATTAGTTAAGAGAACATGACATATAGGCAAGATGCAAACTACAGTTCCAGGACATAGTTTGACGGTCAACGATCTCGCGGTCTCGCATCTCCCAAGTCATAGCAAGGTCACCAAACCTTTTATGTAATTACGCCACCGACAAGGAAGCATTCGACCCATAACATCGGCACTTGTTTCCATCCTCCTTGATTTTTGGCTGCCAGAATAAGCAAATGCAAGGCCACATAAAAGACCACATGATCCATGGAAGGGTCTTTCTTTGTCCTTTGTCGCCACAAATCCAACACTTGACCATTAACCATCACATCTTCACGCGATATTGAAGCTGCTCAGACGCTACGGTATTGTCCCCTTTCATGAGAGAATTCCATTCGCTCTGGAGAAGTCGACAGCTTACGTCCTGTTAGTCGCGAAGGCAGATGACCCCCCAGTGGCGCAACCGTTACCGCCCCAAATCACAGTGCGCAATCTTCATCCGTCAATCCGTTGGATTAATATAATATGCGTCCAGGAGAAACAACCACCTGAAGAGTCGGACATTGAGACGTCCGATGAGAAAATCGACGATAACAGAGAGGACAAAGACCGCACCATGACGGAAAACGAATTAGCGATAACTCTGGCGCGTCTTGAAGACCTCTGGGAAGATATCAGCACCCAGAAGGATTTACATCGAGCAGCTAGAGTTCGAAGGAGGGTCTCTCAAACTCGATTTGCGCGACGGCAAGCAGTCCCTTAAACATCTGGAGGTCGCCAAAGTGGAGGACGCAGAGAAACGTCGAGGCCATCTGCGGGAGGCACAGGAAATGCTGCGTACGTCGTGACCGCTCTTCAACGACCTGTACGCGGTCTACGAGGACGGCATGGCAGCAGCGACCAAGGTGGACGAGGACGCCAGACGTAAGTACGAGTCCTACGTCGGCCTACAAAAGGAAGTCAAGAACCTGGTCAACGACACACGCGCCTTCCGAAAGATCACGACAGATGGGATGAAACAACAGGCCTTCCGGGCCCAGGAATCCCAAACGCGGTTCGTCAGGAGGTCCTTCGCGCCGATATAGAGCAGAAGAAATTTGACGACTTCATTGCCACTCGATCCGCAGAATTAGAGGCTCGCGAAAAGCAGTTGGGGTCGAAGGAAGCTCGGGTTAAGGTGCAACAGGTCGTAGGGGATTGGAAGCAGCCGGAAGCGACTGGATCACAGCGGTTTGTACCCGAGTGGAAAGCACGCGCAGAAGCGGAGCTAGCTCGTCTCACTTCTGAGAGAGATGCCCTGAAGCAACAGTGCGCCCACGATAACTCGAAGGAGCTCGAGGAGGAAGTGGACAGGTTGACTATGGCAGTAGCGTCGGCGGAGAAGGAAGAGAAGAAGCTGAAGAAGCGAATCCAGAGGATGGAGAAGGAAATCCCTCTCACCGAAAAGCGGACGGAGGTGTGGGAGCGCTTGATCGCCTACGACAGGCCACTGTTCGAAACCAACGCCGTACACGTGGCGTATATGAGGACCACGCTGGAAATACTGAAGATGGAACAGTATATCGAGACCGAGAAGCTGAAGGAAGCGCAGGCGTTTGCAGAACACGAGCTGAAAATGGGTAAAGGAGAGGAGCTCGGGCACGATGTGTTGGTGACACAAAGGGATTCCAAGATGAAGGAAGCGCAGGGGAAGCTGGATACGATAGTATCGCAGACGAAGAACTCCAAAAGGAAGGTGAAAGGGATGCAGGTCATCGATGAGAAACAATCGTTGGCGGCCTGTGAGACAACATTGGAATTGCGAGTCGAGATTGCCGAGCTGGAGGCTGAGTTGAACATGCTAGAGAAGAAGCTTGAGGTTTACGAGCTTTCGGGACGTTGATAGTGCGAAATATAGGCAATTAAAATTAAACCGGTATTTCAAAACCTGCAGCGAGCCAGTCAATGACCTTGGGCGTAAGCGGCCCTATCCGCGGCTTCTGCAACAACTGTAGCAACGGTAGCGAAAAGTCGTAGATCAGGCTGTCATGAAGTCCGCCCTCGTCCACCAAAAACGTAACGTCGACCCCATTCTCGCCGACACAGATATCATAGAATCGCTTATGAGTGTCGACCATCCCCTCCTTGCTGCCCGATGTCACCAGCATTCGGTTAACAACGTTGTCCATCCCAGTAAACCATCCCTTCGGCGCGTTCAAGACTTCGACGTAAGGAAGATCTGTCGGGGGAACGTCCTTGAGGAATAGATGACCCCAGGACAGTAGCGATTTGCTGCTGATCACGTCGTACTGGTCTTGACCGCCTTTGTCGCTAGGGTACACCCACGGCGACATGAGAAATACGCCCGCAAACCGGAGATTGCGAGGCAGAGGCGCAACAGCGGGAAGTGGGTGAAGGATATGGGCAATCAATTGCAGAACGATATTGCCACCGGCAGATTCCCCTGCTATCTGTAGACATGTTGGCTTCACGCCAGATTCGAGCAGGAATGCAATGGCATCGCGGGCGGCACGTAAGTGGTCGGGGTATTTTCCGTCAGGGTATAGTTCTATATGAATGTCAGAAACGATAATGCATTCGGGGTAACGCGACGTACTGTAGGCCAAGAAGACCATACCAACGGGTACGTCTTTTACGTGTAGCTCGGAGCAGACATGGTTCCAGAACGCGATTGCAAAGTCAGATAGTGGAAAGACGAAGCCGCCGCCTATTCCCATTGTAAAAGCAAGCTTCTTGGATGCGGTAAATGCCCATACCATGTATATATAGAATGACCTTGTCCAGCCGTTTCGGTCCCATCCATGACAATTTCGCACCGGAGGGTAATTCGTCAACGGTAACCGGAATTTTCTGTCGTCGAGTCCATTTCGTTAGAATCCCAATGGTGTCCGGCTGCAACCATTGGATTTGGTTGTAGGTTAGATGGTCTGTAAAGTACCTAGAAAACCCTTCGGTAACAATTCGCGTCCATGGCTTGGAGGCCGTGACGTTGATTGCTAGCTTCCAGCCAATGTGGAAAGCTACGAGAGAGTTAAAACCGTTTTGTACATTGTACAAGTAATACGCACGTAGAAATATAATCCAGAACGCGATAATGAGCTTTTCGAAAACGCTGGTTTCCGCATAGCTTGGTGCTCGATGTTCACCCATGTTTATTGCCCACGCTGACGAGCGTCGCTATCTGCATAGCGGAACCATGTTAGATATTGGTGATGGTGGGAGGAAGGAAAGCGCCCCTTTTGGGTCGGCGATCACTCAAGGTTTACCGGACAACAGTCAATACCAAGTCATAATTTCGCCAGGGCTAGACAAAAACTCGTGTATCGCGGCTACTCAATATCATCGCAATTCAGCTCGTCAGACACGTAAATATTCCAGGGTTTTTGAAGCTCCTGGTAATTCAACTTTGGTAGACTACCCGCTTCAAGAACCTACACTGCTGCTCGCGAATTCGTCAGCCTAGTCGGATCCAGATCCGGCTTCTGGGATGACATTAATCATCTAGGAGTGCAACAACGTTAACAGTGCTTTGAACCAAAGCTATGAGGTTGCCTGCGCAACCGTAGGGTGGTGAAGTAAACTCTAGGTTTTGATACACCTCTGGTTTACTGCGGTAATTAACGGTATCAAGACGGTATTGAAACCCTCGGCGGTCGGGAGGTAGGTTTCGATACCGGCACGTGACTATTGCACGTGCCGGCGCGCTGGCGCTCAGAGAGCTTGGAGGTGGCGGGACTAAGGCGGGATGAAGGCGGCGCGGTGCGGCGCCACATCACGTGTCCGAAACGCGTGCCGGTATCGCAACCGTTAGTAACGGTTTCAAAACTGAGCCCGCCTCCTGGGGACTCGGTATCGATACCGTTACTAACACCCCCGGGAGGTTTACTGCGCCACCATACGCAACCGTACATAGAGCTAAGAGGCTAGGTAAAGTGTTAGCAACAAGCAACAAAAGTTTGAGGAAAACACAACAGCTCCTATGAACCACTCTCTGACTGGGAGTCGAACCCAGCTTTCGCGCGCATGACGGCAGTGGGACATGTGACAGGCGCGTGTACTGACCGATATACTATCAGAGACCAGGCAAAATGACGTACGTAATTACCTGACAGGTTTTGAACTTCCCTAAGGGGACAAAAAGAGTTAACGTCTCACGAGTCCCTCTCAGTATTCATTTCAAGAACCTCGATGTAAGTCGGGTAAACACCTTATTCCATGCATGTTTTCGGGGTCGCGCTGGAAGCTGGAACGAACTGGAGTCCGCCTGATCTGAGTCTATCCTTCGGATGTAGTGGTGCAAGCTCGGGGATGCTGGATGTGTTCAACTGGGGGTCAAGACGTTTCTGGTAGACGCGTTCAATTCATGGAGTAAGTAGATGCACATTTCTGTCATCGATATCGTTACGTCAAGTCGTTGCAGTGCACGCGACGAGTCTCTTCTGAACCACGTTGGCAGCTGCCCGGAGCCGTGTTCGTCAGCTGGATTGAGAGTTCGCGTGGGATCAGAAGAGCAGAAGGGGACAGACTTGGCGTGCGATGCAACGGAGAGTCCCGGGATGTGGATGCCGAGGACGGTCAACTATATTCCGCCTACCAATTTTGCTGGTACGAGCAGGTCGTATTCGCACTTTGTCAGCTATTAATAACGCCCCAAAAGATGGACGCCAAGATAGGAGGGGCGCGAGGTTATTAGGAGAGTACGCGACGGGCTTCCTGTGGAGGTCCGATGACCCCAGTGTTAGGAGAGAAGAGTGATTGCGTTTAGTGATTGATGGAATGCGGACTTCCGTCTGTGGATGGCTGTGGACAGAGAATGGATAGGGATACGACTGGGGCTAGGGGCGTACGTGCGCGCAACATCATACCATCCGTGGAGGAGTCGAGACTTGAATCGGCTCCCCGCGCGGGGTGCGGGGCAGAGTGGGGAATGAATACAATGGCGCCGATCTGTAATCATTGTGCACGACAAGTTCCAGCCTGGTTCTCGCTGTTCTGGACGACAGTATTGATGACGATGTACAGTTGTACAATACGACTGTCGTACTTACGGGCAGCGCGATGCAGCTCGGATTGATAATTTCATCGATAGTAGGGGGTGGAGTAATTTGAAATGCGGATGTCTCAACCGGGAGGAACCACGCGCGTGACCGGTGGCGACGGTGCGACGGTATATAAGGACCTTCGCGGGCAGGACCAAAACTATCTCTCTGTCTCTCTCATACACCGACAATGACGACCTTTTCCACTGAATTCAACACTCCTCTCTTCAAGGGCAAGGTCTCTTTCCCCACCGGTGTATACATCGGCGGCGAGTTTTCCAAGGGCGGGGATGGCGGCACTATTGAGTACGCGCTTTACTTGTCTCACTTTGTTTCTCTTGCTCACGATCGTCAGTGTGATCAACCCTTCCAACGGCAAACTCATTACCAAAGTCGACGAGGCAACTTCGGCCGATGTCGACCGCGCCGTCAAGGCTGCCCACAAGGCCTTCGAGACTGAGTGGGGTCTCAACGCGAGCGGTGCTCGTCGTTCAGAGCTGCTCAACAAGCTCGCGTCGCTCATGGAGAAGAACCACGACGAGCTCGCTGCTCTCGAGGCTCTCGACAACGGTACGTCGCGTCATCTTCTATCCGGCTCCAGCTGACGCGTCTCTAGGCAAAACTTTTGGATGGGCCAAGGGAACTGATACGGCGTTCGCCATCGCCACCATCAAGTACTATGCTGGATGGGCCGATAAGATCTCTGGCCAGACAATCGAGACCGACGAGAACAAGCTTTGCTACACGCGCCACGAACCCATCGGTGTCGTCGGCCAGATCATTCCCTGGAACTTCCCTCTCCTCATGTTCGCCTGGAAGCTCGGCCCCGCTCTCGCCACCGGAAACTGCATCATTCTCAAGCCTTCCGAGTTTACCCCTCTGACCGCTATCCGCATGTGCTCTATTATCCAGGAGGCTGGTTTCCCCAAGGGTGTCATTAACATCCTCACGGGTTACGGCCACACTGTCGGTGCTGCGATGGCCGCGCACATGGACATCGAAAAGGTTAGTCTCCTCAAGTTCTCATGACGCGTCAAACTTAACAATTTCATAGGTGGCGTTCACGGGTTCTACCCTTGTCGGCCGCAAGGTCATGGAGGCTGCTGCCAAGTCCAATCTCAAGGACGTCACCCTTGAGCTTGGCGGAAAGAGCCCCAACATCATCTTCAACGACTGCGATCTCGACCAGGCTGTCAACTGGGCCGCCCACGGTATTTTGTACGTTGTCCGCTTTTGCTCCTCGATTATGTCTGATTTTCTCGATAGCTGGAACCACGGTCAAGCCTGCTGCGCCGGTTCGCGTATCTTCGTGCAGTCTGGCATCTACGACGAATTCCTCAAGCGCTTCACTGAGCGCACCAAGAACATCAAGGTCGGCGACCCCTTCGCTGAGGGTATCGACCAGGGCCCCCAGGTCTCGCAGCAGCAATACGACCGCATCATGGGTTACATTCAGTCCGGCAAGGAGCAGGGTGCTACCGTCCACCATGGTGGTGAGCGCCACGGAAGCGAGGGTTACTTCATCTCGCCCACCATCTTCACCAACACCACTCCCGACATGAAGATCGTGCAGGAGGAGATCTTCGGTCCCGTCGGTGTTGTCATCAAGTTCGAGGATGAGGAGGATGTGATAAGACAGGCAAACGACACTGGTACGTTTTCTCGCCCTTTTCTTTTTGTCTATTCCCAACGATTTCGCAGTCTACGGTCTTGCCGCCGCCGTGTTCTCGCAGAACATCAACCGTGCGCTCGAGACGGCGCACAAGCTCAAGGCCGGTACTGCATGGGTCAATTGCGCCAACCAGCTACATGCGAATGTTCCTTTCGGTGGCTTCAAGCAGAGCGGTATCGGACGGGAGTTGGGCGAGTACGCGCTGCACAAGTACGTTCATCGTTCCTTTAGTTGGTCGTCGATGATACTGATGCGATACTTTCTTCTAGCTACACCCAAACAAAGGCTGTGCACGTCAACTTGGGCCACCGTATGTGAATGAGGAGCACTACGAAGCATGAACGATGAGCAAACACACAATTTAACATTATGTATGGATATCGCAATGTACATTATGCACGGCTGATTAAATATGACCATTATCCTGAATGACTTTTGTGTGGCGAGATGATTGGTTCTTTGGTTGTTTTCGTCGTGAGATTTCACGCTTGGTTGAGCCAGAGGCATGAGCTGACCGACTTCTGACGAGGCATGTTTTTGGTGAGTTTGATGGAGGGGTCAGACCAACTCAAGTCAAAAGATCACCTTGCTTCATCTCTGATAGTATATCGGTTAGTACACGCGCCTGTCAAATCCTTTGATTGATGAGACGCGCGAAAGCTGGGTTCGACTCCCAGTCAGAGAGATTGAACCAAACCATAAAACATTTTTAATAGCGCCCCGCGATCCGTTGAAGCTTCATATATTGGCTGCGCATCTTCGAGTCGGCATTAGCAGGCGTCAGATAGAGTCAAGGCGAGTGTGTTGTATTACTTTCAAACTACTTCATACTTGCATAGTCAAAGCTGTTCCTATTGTACTTTCCATTGCGGCTAACTGAAGACCCGATCTATCACGATCAGCCAATCCGATTTTTGAACAGACCACCGCGACTCTTTTATCATTTGGTCACTGGTGTGCCATCTTCTTCATTGGCCGGTGAGACGAGTTTTTTTTTTCCAAATTACCTCATTCGTTGATTACCAACGAGCGCAGAGGAGAATGACAATATCCGAGTGCGGAGTGTACGCGTTGGCGCCACAATTCAGGTGGGCGATCTGAGAAAGGACTCGGAATGGCTCATTTTGTCGACACGATTCTAGGATCAGTGTCTGGCCTACCAGAAGGACCTCAACATGCTGCCATTGATGGATTTTTCGCTTCATCGAAGATTTAGTTTTAGGTCCAAAGAGTTCTACTAGGCAATGACATCCGGTTGACCCTCGTGCGCCTTGTTCAGGCACTCTCTAGGTTCTCGTGCGAAAATAATGCTACCTATGAACGAAACTCTAAAGAAGATGTATCCTTCTGTGCAGCAGCAAAGTAGATACTGGCGAGGGAGATCTCGCCCATTTCGGTTCTTGTAGGGCGCGTTTCTGTGATTTTTTGCTTGGCTGAGCCATCCTTCTGACCATGCTCTGGTGCGCACTTGGCAACCGCGTACCGCTTGGTGCCACTGACAGAGGGGCCCGAGTCGATGTGAACATCATCTTTGATGAAATATTGGTTAGTCCACGCGCCTGCCATAGTGTTCTATGGCGGTCAGTCCGTGCAAAAGTTGGGTTCGACTCCCAGTCAGACAGATCTTCACAGTCAACACTTGATTTTTACAATTGGCGGCCTCACGAGTTGAGTAGGGTGGCGCAGCAAATGCCAAACCTCCTGGGTGCGTTACAATACCGACCACCTCAGGAGCAGCGCTCAGGTTTTGAAACCATCGATAACGGGCACATGAAGCAGTTGCTGGTATCTAAACCTACATAGGCAGTAAACAAGAAGGTGACTCGGTACCGCTGACGTGGTTCCAGTACTCAGACTCTGCCCTGCCATAAGGACAGCTCAGCAGTGCCATTGATGAAGAAGTTTTCGCCTCATCATTCCAATTCATTGCTATTAAGGATTATACTTCAGGTGCGGAGAGTTCTAGGCATTTACATGGGCCAGTGTTGTACCTCGCGCGCCTTTTTCGTGCACTCCTGTCGTACTAGGTTCTCCGGCGGAAATGCTACCTATGAACGAACTCTAAACGAGTACTCCAGACGAACAGGTCGACGTACTTCAATATCAGAACATGTATCCTTCGGTGTTGGTATAGCAGCAAAGTAGATACCGGCGATGGAGATCTCGCTCATTTCATCGAGGCTTTGTCTTCGCCCGATGCGCCCGTTGAGACTCGAGAGGAGCGAGTTGGAATATACTGGATCCTCAGATGCTCAAAGGAGGAAGCGCAAGAGGGTCATGAGACGTACGTTTGGGGCAGATTAGGTAGAATGAGATCCATATAACTGGAGTCAAGGAAGGAGTCAGTACAATACAATGACGGCTTTGGTGAATATTTACAGCTCCCTGGCATGAAATGAACTAGGAAATCCGGTAAGTACTAGGATGTAAGATGAAGGATGATTGCTGACCGTCACCAATATGCCCATGGATGCCAGGCTGCGCAAGGACGTTAAGATATGCGCAAGACTACGAGTAAGCTCGTCAATTACCCTGCGAAGAATCCAGTCTCTGTTGGGGGTTCAGCGCGTTTCATCAGCCTAACCGGAAGAAACAAGTTACGGATAGCCCAAATAATCAGTTGATCACACATGTTGCAGCGCTACTTCTGCCAAAAGGTATTCTCAATGCGGGGACGGACATCGGCAGAACACCTAACGTACGAGTTGATACATTCACGGCGCTGTCGGATGAGCCATTCGATAAGCGTCGCAGTGGTGAGAATGTCGAGCGCCAGAGGAATCGCGCAAGTCGTGATTACGAGGCCATACATGTCGCCCGTTTGATAGAGGATTGAAGCCATGCGGATCTGCTTAACCGCGACCAAGAAACCGAGGATAGTAGAGGCAATATTCAATATGCTCAGGATGAGCACCATAAGACGTCTTCTCGTTAGTCGCCAGATTCGGTATATGAAGAACGCTTGGACTGTCCAGGGATTGATGATTAGCCGATGAGAGGCACTGGCGCGTACTCACTGATACATCGCATGATGAACGTAGGGAGAATTACCCCCGGAAATATCTTGGGTGGATATTGGAGGACGGTGGGGTTGCAGTATTCGGTTACGGTCATGATGTATAATCCAGCGTCTGAGAAGACAATCTGGACGGTCTCTAGGAGTCTAGAAAGGGAAAGGTTGTAAGAACGTGCAAGAGAAGTGAGCGGATATACTCGTACAACACCCCGCCCACCTGTAGTTGAACTTTGAATACAAAAGGTAAGGAGGTGCTTGGAAACTCACGAGGATCTTCAGCCACACTTTGTCGTCTCCGAAAGTGCGATAGTAAGTATGTGATTGTGTGATCAGGATTCCAAATAGTATGTGCATCACGAGGCTGGCTATTAGATACGCTCCTAAAGATGAACTTGAGCCGTGCCAGTGTCATTTGATAAACTGGGGGGACGCACCAAGAGTGCTGTTCTTCGAGTCAGCGTCCATTGCGGGAGTTAAGTAGTAGAGCGAAGGAGCGTAGTAAGAGGAGCCCTAAGCAGACTCTCCGGGCACAGTATAAGTAAACGTTATGAGTGTTTTGATCTGTTTCCCGCGTAGGTAGGAAGTTGACGGGGGTGACTCAGACCGCGACTTGTGTTCCGTTCACGACGCTGTGGGCATCATCAAACCGCAACAGCTCCGTGTTGATGAGCATCAGGGCATTCGTTCTTGCTTTGAATGCCCACTGAGATGTCCTGAACAGTGTTTTTGATTGTCTGTCTGTGCGGCCCGTATCAAAGCACGAATCCAAAAGGCGGGCTTGTAGTCTTTTACGGTTAGATGAGAGCCTGAAGCTCTGGCACCGGGTGAATTGATGAAAGACTGCGGAAGAGGCTTTGATGCGCGTTGCGAGGAGCAAAGGAAGATGACGAGAATGGAGAACAGCATGGCGAGCTTATTCCCAGTTAAGAAAGTTCAGTAGATCAAAACGAGACTAACCTGACATAAGTATAACCAGTACCATGCGAGTGTCGTTCACCATGGAATTCTACGCGTCGGCCATAAGGCAGTTGCAACAGGCCAAGATTATTTGGTTTGACAGATGGCGCCAATGTTTAGCACAGCCACGTCGTACCTCTCTCTCCCGATTCAAGATTGACAGGTTCGTGACAGTAGAACGCACGCGAGTCAACGGCAACACGCTCATACACGTTATGTACTGGAACGCAAACGACGAATCGGGCCTTAGTAACTTCGGTTGACCAAAGCATACGCGCGTTGCCTACGCGCGTCTCGGCGGCAGTGCGAGTCCGATCATTTCCACTCTGCCCTAAACCTTTCTTTCCTTCACTCACTCATGACTTTGAGGAGGTCCTTCTGTCGACTCTTTAATCGTGTTCTCTTATTATCCGGCGTTCTTCTAGGACTATCTATCCTACTCCAACACTTCGAGGTCATGTCACCACTACCCACCCTTCGCGCGGCTAACAAGGCGTTCTTCACCTCGCTCCACACGCCTACCGCCGTCTTCGTGGGAGGCACATCTGGGATAGGGCGTGCCATGGCCGAGGCTCTTGCTGCCCACACGGAGGGAAACGCGAATATCGTTATTGTCGGGCGCAACCGAAAGGCTGCCCAAGAGATCCTGGCTTCATTCCCCAGCTCCTCAGCCAAGAGAGAGTTCATCGAATCCGACGTCACGAAGAGCATCTCCGGACTCTCCTCCGTCACAGCTCAAATTGCTGCCACCTTCCCTGATGGTATCGATTTCCTTGTCCTCACCCCGGGGTATGCCGCAATGGATGGACGAATTGAAAACGAGGAGGGCATCGATAGGAAGATGGCCGTCAATTATTACGCACGGTGGAAGTTCATATATGACTTGGCGCCTATCTTGCGAGAGGGCGGCAAAGTCATCTCGGTTCTTGGGGCAGGATATGGTGGGAAGATTGATGTGGAGGACCTTGGGCTCAAGAAGCCAGGTGCGTACAGCGTGTCGAAGGTGGCCATGGTCACGCCGACGTATACAGACCTTATGATGCAGGTGTGTTTCGATCCTACGCATTTAATATCCGTCTCTAACTATTGTGTTAGAGCTTCGCTGCGCTGTACCCCAAGCATTCATTCACGCAAGCCAACCCAGGTGGTGTACGCACCAATTACCTTTCGTCTTCCACCACTCGGCTTGTTCGTTGGACGGCACCCCTTACTTACCTGTTGTACCCATTCATGTCCAGTCCTGCAGAGTGCGCGGAGAACATGTGGCATGGTCTAAGCAATGTGGCGAAAGACGGAGGCACGTATAGGATTGGAAGCAAAGGCGAAGACCTGGGGAAGAAGAATTGGTATGGTACTGAAGAAGAGCAGAAGAAGCTTTGGGAACATACAGTAGAGAGTGTAAAAGCGTCGTTGTAATTTACTGGGCAACTTGCTGTACCGTATGCGACTACCGTGCATCATGTATATTTATTCGATATGAGTATCTTTTTGTTGTGTTTCATTAACTCTTGTCGTTCATAGAAGCAAAGTTGTGAATAGTGGTACAGGCGGAAACCGTGGAATCGAGATCGTCTTGTCTAGTAGACGGAGACGACCCTTGGCCGGCGTCGTCCAGTGAATGGTAAAATGGTCAACGTACTATAGTCACTATCGGATTCCCATCGTGTTCAATTCATCGCCGTTACAATGTTTCGAAAACGTGACAACGAATC